TCGAGGTAGACATAGATTATAGCAACCAAAGCAATAGCCCAGCCTGATTTTAAACAGTTATACTAATCTTTTGTGTATTATTCTTTGTGTGCCCTTTGCTCTGGAAAGCTTTATGTATGGTCCTAACTCTACATCTGCAAAAACAGAAAATTCTCTTACTGATAATGGGTCTAAGATAACTGCCTTGAAAATTGCAGCATTCAGTTTTATATTTCTGTTAAATGTCAAAGTTAAAGTGGTTGATTTATCTGAATACATTGAAAATGATGAACATGTTTCACAGGTGTGTGCAAGCTGGAGTGTCCTATCGGTGGATGTGAGGCATTTCAGATGCTTTAGTTGTTAGAGCGTATTTCACTTCTTCTATTGTGAATCTCAACAACAGAAACATACATAAGCATGAACATTTGTGATCAGACACTACTATTAAATGCTTCTTATTGTACAACATTTATTGTATAAGTACAACTTGCCCATAATATTTTTCAAATCTATTTCCTAATCCAATTGGCAGCCACATTGAAAAAAGCTTCAAATGTTTTACATGTTACATGTGTTTTGTAATGTAATCCACCATGAGGTGGATTTTGTATATAATTGGTAGAAGATTTTGCTACAAATCACGTCTTCACTATTTACCAATTCTGTGATCTTGGACAAGACAACTATTCTGTCTGATATTTTTTATTAAGTTGAGCTAATAACTCCTATTTGGTTAGTTATAAAATTAAGCAGTGTTTGTCAAAGTGCCTTGTAAACTATTAAGCACCACGTACATAGAAGTAAAGTATCTTGGGGCTGGCCCCGTGGCCGAGTGGTTAAGTTCGTGCACTCCGCAGCAGGCGGCCCAGTGTTTCGTTAGTTCGAATCCTGGGCGCGGACATGGCACTGCTCATCAGACCACGCTGAGGCAGCGTCCCACATGCCACAACTAGAAGAACCCACAACGAAGAATACACAACTATGTACCAGGGGGCTTTGGGGAGAAAAAGGAAAAAATAAAATCTTTAAAAAAAAAAAAAAAAAAAAAGAAGTAAAGTATCTTATGTGTCATATGGATAGGTACATGCATCTGTCCCTTCCATTCTGTGAAAATATATACGAACATGTGTATATATATATATATATATATATGTATGTATGTACATATATTCTACTAGCAGCATCAGCGTCACCTGCAAAGTTATAAGAAATTCAGAATCTCTGCTTCATCCTAGACCTACAGAACTGAAATTGGCATTTTAAGATAAACAGAAGATTTATATTGAAGTTTGAAAATATTGCTCTATGTGGTCTACTTACAGTGTGATCTCTCTCTTTGTCTCTCTCTGAAAACACAGACATACACATAGCAGCCGGAGAGTTAGGCAGTGATACCAACAAAAGAATGTAGATTTACTATCTGGAGTTGAGAAAAGAGCAGTCTAGAAAAGTACTTTCTATTTTAACTAGAACTGAGCATCAAGAGTAGTAGAAGGGTAGAAACTATTAAATGGCTCATTCTTGGAATGGTGTTGACTATCAGTCAAGAATGAGGCAGAATGGATCATTGCACTGGAAGTTTGAATTAATCTAAGAAGGCTTATTCAATTTTGCAATTCTACTATACATACACATGTGTATTTATAGATATATACTCTAACCATGAATATTCTATTCCTATTTTCAATCTATATGTTTAGACATAGATTGGCAACCATCTCGTGTTTAGCCATAGTGCTAGAAGATAAACCTAAGACATGGTTTTATTTCCTTTGAAGTTTGTGAACTAAATAAATGATATGCCTTGTTGATGCATGTTATGACCGTTCAGGAAAAGTATATTATTTAGTTCATTTAGTCTATCCTCATTATATGTGTTTACACCTTGTTTTATCATATTACAAATGTATTGTCTTCTCAAACTTAAAGATGCTTATATATTTTCCTTTCTTCCCAATAGCAATGCTCCTTAACTCCCTTTTAGAAGGAGGTTTTTATACACTATGATTGAAAGAGTTCATGATATATGGAATCTCAGTCCTGATTCTTAGGTGTTTATAAATAATTAAAAACTCTCTTCCAATTTGGGAATTTATATACCTTCAGATGAAAGTGTTTTGACCAAATTAGAAATAGCACCAACCTTTGGATACACAGGAAAGTCATCCTTGAATTTTCATTTTCACCAAGATATTGCCGCGGTATTGGCTTTCTTTTATTTAAACATGGAAAGATGACAATAAAATTTTAACTATGCCATGTGATGCATTAACAATTCAAAAAACAGCTAAAAAACATATTTTCTAAATCATTCTATGAAAATGTTCACTTCACAAAATTTTTCTTCCAACCAGACTCTTCTAGGTTATGTTTTAATTAAAATTTTAATTGAAGGTTTACAAATGTGTAGTTTGTGATATGTTTAATTTCTAGTTCAAGTATTGTGACATTTATTTTTAAGCCATTTTGTATCTGGTCTACCACATTTTTTACAACGTATTTACCATTTCATATAAATTATGCAAAGTAGAGTTTCAGTCTCCATCAGCTCTCGGCTTCTGCCACCCAAGGATTTGCAAAAGAAAAAAATAGAAATGATCGGGTCTCTGTAGCTCATTTGGGGAGAAGACTATTTAAATTTGTTCTTAATGTAAGACTGAAATTAATCTTGATTTCCCATCAAATGCAGGGGGATTTTACAATATAGTTCATAATAGCATTTAATTCCTCTAGGGGACGAGTTAAGATAAACAAGTCACTGACAGTGTTTATCTATAAATATAGCAGATGGTGTGGGACTGAGGTTGGTTATTAACTCTGCCGACTTTAATTTCATGGTTATAAAACACTGTAAACCTCACTGTTTATAAAAGGCGGGGAAGAATCTCCAGTGGGCTTCAGTAGCCAAGAAACTCTCTGTAACATTAATCTCTCGCACTGATATTTGGTATCCTCCTAGGGTGCAATATTTAAGATTGTGGAGTGATTGCTAGACATATTAAAATTTTCACTGGGATCATTAGCTAGCATTTCTGTCATTGATCTATTATAACTTTGTTAATGAGTTCCATGTGAGTGAAATTTAGTGAATGAGACAATTCTTTCTAAACCTCGCTAGGTGAATGTTTAACAATTACTGTAGGCAGTTGTATATCTAAATGATAGACTAATTTATCAAAATAGTACATTTTTTCTTATACCAAGATGAATTGTGATACCTAACTAGACCAAATATACTTAGGGATAGAATTTCAAAAAGGAAAACTAGAGCATCGTTCGAATAATCTGCCAAAGTGTATCACACACCTTTACGTTTAGGCCGTGAATCTGCCAAAAACTTCACAAAATGCCATAGAATTAAAAAGAAGTAAAATAATTTATACTTCATATTCTGAATTGATTTAAATATGAAATTTTATTATGATCATTTATTTCACTAAAAATCCACATGCTCAATTTGATTAAAATTCCTTCAAAAAGAAGGACCAGTATTGTAAAAATGATATTATTTGAAATAGCTCAATTTTTTCATTCCAATTTTATAGTAAATAAAAAATATATTTTATAGCCACAAAAGTGAAAAAAATTTCACAAGTTCTATCTCTATTACTTTTTCATTAAGAAGAGTTGATTTTTTCCCATCCTTCCTAAGATCAGACTTCTATAAATACATGATAACACAGTATGTGAGTTGGAGATTAAAAAATATTGAACTAAAAATGTCTTAACTGCTTTAGAGTACCAGACTCCTCGAGAAAGGGTTTTCTAATGAGGAAATCCTCAGTTACTTTTCCAGCTCTTATATCGGGCTGCTTCTCCTGGGCCCACCCTGAGAGTTTTGTTACTCATCTGAAACAGTCTGTTTCCTGTGATTTCTACTGATTGTTCCTAACATAGACCTCAAACCCTGGCTTCCACGGAGCTGGCTTCTGAACAGCAGCAGCCCTGGGTGGAGAATGGAACTGTCAGTAATATATCTTCTCATGTTCCTTCCTGCTCAGGGCCTAGCGCCACTCATTGTCATTGGATGTAATATCCACTATTTGATACACTCATTTCTGCAAACTGTCTACTCAAACTTAGACTTCCAGGTCTCAAAATGCATGAGGCATCTATAACAGAGGGCAGTAAAGGCTCTCTCGAGGGGGTTCTTTCTTTCTTTCTTTCTTTTTGAGCCTCAAAATCCACCTAAATCATCATCAAAGAAATTGGTTATTTGGCTATTGGTATGTTTGACATTCATATTTGTGTTGAAATGAGTCAAAACTAGAGGTGATTTCACATCAAAGTTATCAACAAAAACCACCTAAAATAGATCTATTAATTAATTTTAAGGCTTGCACCTTTTCTCTGGTGAGTTCTGAGGTGAGGTGGAAATGTCTTTGGAAAAACAGAACCAAGAAGACTAAGGCTGCAGAGTTGCCAAGAGGAGCCCTTAAGTGAGACAAAAATAGGTGACAACAATAGAAACATAAGGGGTAACAAAGGGGAGACAAAATATGGGAAATAAGCAAAGGCAGACATTGAGGAGTCTGAGTGGAAGGGTGAAGAGTGACTGGTTAGGGCCCCTCCTTTATAAGAATTCGTAAATACAGTGGGTCTTAGGAAAATGAGATGTGATTAAAAGCACATTAAAACAATCACTCTTGTAAAGAAGGAATCTTTTTAAATATCCCAATGGTAGCCTAGAGTTACTGTCTCTTTTTTCCTATTCTCTATATAAGATACAATGAACTCTCTTATAAAATGTAATCTTTTTTCTAATCATGGTTTGAAAAACAAAACAAAACCCCAAAAACCAGTTTATATAAGGTAATTATCTGATTAAAAGGTGGAAAAAAAGCTGTCAACATTTAAGAAAAGTGTTCTCACTTTCATCCTAATCCATCAGATTTTATTAAAATACTGTCATAGGAATACATTGCTGCCCTATAGTATAGAGCAAATTACAACCCATGGGATAAAATTAATGCATGACCTTTAAATACTTTAATCTCATTTTCATTATTTTCTTTCAGATTATCCTCTCCTGTCTAATGTCAAAGGCATTTCGTTGCATAAAAGAAAACATGCAAAGGAAATCACTCTAAGTGGATTTCGTTCCGCCTTCAATGGTCAGTTACAAATCAACCCTCTGTGATGTTTTTATTATTTATTCTCTCTAAAAATCCAGTAATTTTTTTTTGAACCTTTTGTTTCCAGGAGAAGTAATCTATGCTGTCATGTGCATGACAGTCACCTGTGGAATCCTTCTCTTGGCTATGTTCAAGCTGAGGTAACTGGATACAGATCAGAAGGAAGGATGGAAGGGAATCAGCCCTGGGAAAGCACATTGCACATGGCAGAGCTTACAAAGGGCTGGAGAAGGAAAGCTTCTCCGTTAAGACACCGTAAATCAACTTTTAATGTGGGATAGGCCGGTGGAAACCTTCTTCTCAGTCTTCATATGTAGGGGAAATGTGATCATAGGGGATTTTTTTACATTGGCTTTTACAGCACATATGCATTGTTCCCCCCCAATTAAACTGTGATCAATCTTTCCCCTGGTTTTCCTACAAAATCCGAATTGAACTTTGCTGCATTCTTTATTCAAATCATCTGCAGGATTAATCAGCGCTCACAGTGGACCTGTTGTATACGTCATACAGTGGATATTCACCTGAAGATTTACGCTTCAATCTAATTTCTTATCTATTAATGAATTTTATTCATGTTTTAATATACAGTTATAAAGAGACATTTAATGAGGCCTCCCAATGTACCCTTAGAAAGATTTATTGCTATTATTCACTCTTTCCAAATCTTCTTTTTCCTTGGCTGCCTTCATTGCTGGAATGGGGTAATGCTCCAGCTACATGTGAGACTCAAGATTAGAGACATATTAATCCCTAGATTTCTAAATGTCTAGGGTTTAAAATGTTTCCATTTATAAAACATTTACGAATAGAGACAAAATGGTATACATTAGCTTACCTTTAATTTAAAAAATAGCTTCATATTTAAATATCAATGATGTTTATTTGCTTATTCATTAACATATGTGTGTATTTGGATATAATTTGAATGTCGTAAGTGTTAATGAAGAAATATATATTTATGTGTGTATAATATATGTGACACATATGTATAATATATGTGACATATATTATACACACACACATAAAATATATTTATTAGTAAGATTAGGCCCAAAGAGGAGCAGAGGCCATGGACATTTCTCTTATCTCGTGATGCTCAGCAAGGAGGACTCGGTAAACTACACAATGCATGTACACATATTGCTCTTCCAGAAATCTCAGACTTAAAGGCCTTGACAACCAGGCAGCTGAAACGAAAGACTCAAGTGGGGAGGTGTATGCAACACGAAGGAGTCGGGCAAATGATGAGCGTAGGCTCTGCCTAAGGACTTTCAATCTTACCGATTTTTAAATGCAATGCCAGCTAAACATATCCACTTGTTGGACCCCACCCCTCTAAACATATAATTTGATGCTTACCAATACCAAGACTAAAACAAACTGCTTTTCTCCAAGGCCTTAAAAATTGTATTTGTATGAGACGATATTCCTTGGGTTCCAAGATATAGTTTAAAGGCCAAATAGTTAAGTTAGTTTTAAGGGGAAAAATAGCATTTGGAATTTATTAAACTTTCCTTTATTTGGTTTAAAATATTTGAGAGCACTGTTCAGTTACTGGGCCTGCCTCGATATTTCATCACAGACATATTGTTTCAGAGACCTGCAAACGGTTTTCTAGCCTAGCAAAAATCTTATTTTAATAGTTCTCAATCTTTATTTCTTAGCGCCACACACATAATGTATAAAGTTCACACCTGCCACATGGGCCCACAGTTTTTTCCAGGTTACTGTTGTGCCACAGATAAATAAGGTGACAGCTATTCAAAATTCCCTGTGTATCTGCTGTAACCTTTCTTTCTTTCTTGTCTACATAGAAAGGCATACGCTTTTACTGGATGACAATGGGAGCAGTATAGACAAAAGTTTTGAATTTGCTGTAATATGTATTCTAAAGCAAATCATTCATTGTTAAGTATGTCATATTTAGTTACAAATTACTTTCCCTCCCAATTTAAAGTTGATCCTTACATGTAATTTGAAAGATCCAGATCCAGAGTTAGATAAATGATAAAAGTAAAAGCCGTGGTGGAAAGAAAGAACAAAACAAAACAAAAGCATCATCAACAACAAAACCTATGTGCTCTCTCGTCTGGAGATACATAATGCCTCCTTCATGACAGAAGGCTGGTGCCACTCACCTGGCGGTCAGGTCTAATCTTTGTGAATACTTTTCTGCAGTAAAGATTACGGTTTTTGCATTTGTTTCATGTTATGCTAAATTAAAACAGCCCTAGCCATTCAAAAAAATTTGCAGAGGAACCGATAATTAAAAACTTAAATTTTTGAGGAAAGAAAGGACTCTTTTTGAAAATGACTTCTTGGAGATCACAGACACACGCATGATACTTCTTTGAAAGACCATGGAACATTCTACTATTGGGACTTTACACTTAGGAACTCGATTATGTTTCCCTTCTGGGTGCAGAATCCATCCAAAATATAAGCACACACACATTTATAAAATCCTTCAAATGGCATATTGTTAACTGTTACTTTTATTTTTCTATAGAACCTTCAGAATATCAAGTCAAACAAGAGATCCTTCTCCAATCCAAATACCTGGAGGACTCATGATTCATCAGGAGTCACGGATCATTAACTTTCTTTAAAGCAAGTCTTTGTAGCCAGTCAACAGAATATCCTAACCATCATCAATAAGGAAAATGTTAAGATTGATTTAATGATGTTGGATCATTAAGTATAATAATGTAAAGTATAATAATATGGCATGATGTTAGATTTACTTTTTCTTAAGAAAATATTGAAGTCTAAACATAGGTGATATCTTTTATGAAACTGGTACAGAATAACAGAATTGCCCTCAAAGGCAAAAAGTATTATCCTAAGTTATGGTCTGCATAATCTTGTTCATGATAAATTGGAATCCATATAGTAGTAATTAGTTGCATCATAATATGACAAATTATAGTTAGTGGGGCCTTTTGTTTCTGATCAATTTTGTGAATTCCCATTAACTTGACAAAAGGAAAATGCTAATAAAAATATCCAGTATATTTGTTATTTGTATATCCATTTTCAAATCATTAGCTAAATCATTAGCATTGACTTTAAGTTTCTAAATATATTTGGTTAGAAAATTAGTCTTAAAAATCAGAAATGGTATCTTCGGATTTTTGTAATTTGAATTTGGACTTGACTTTTCTAACTTGATGTCCTTATTTGACACTCATAAAGATGTAAGGCAACATTGGCTGAAAAATCAGTGTGCATTTCAATAATGATATCTTTTATTTGTTCATTTATTTTTTTTCTATGCCAATTATTATGAACTTCTGCAATAATAAAGTAACGTCATAATTGTTACATTCTGTATTGTTTCTATATTGATGCTCTTGGCCTGATTTGACATCAGAGTTATACTGTGATTAGAAAATTGTAGAAAAGATGTTTTGAGTTAAGCTTTTGATACATATATGCTTCTCAGCTGTCTGCAATCATATTAGTACCCAGTGCAAAGAATAAGTATGAACTTGTTTCACCTATAGTGGCACAAGGGTACAAATATTCAATAACCTGAGCATACTAATCACTAGTGATATATTTACAATTAAAGATCAAACATTTTTTACTTGTTTGGTTTCATGTCTACTGCTGTTCACTACACTTCAGATCCAATTGTCTACAGTAAATTAAATTTGAAGTTAACGTTAGGCCATGTTTACTCAGAGTAATTGAAATAGCCATCCTTTATCTTTTAAAACAAGGAAGAATAATTTGGTGAATCACAAATTCCCCTCAAGGAGTTCTACGTACTCCAGTGGCTGTTAACTGTCTAAGTTACTGTGAAGAAAATGGAGGCATTTCTGTCTCCAAATCACTGCCATTTAATTTGGGCTCGCTAATGCCTGAGAATACACAAACTGTTCTCTGGAAAACCGAGGAAGGAGGTCAAGTTGCTTTTTAAAGTTTGTGTCGAGCAGAGAAGGGGACGACAGAGTGTGAAGTAGAAGGGCTCCCTTAAAATCGGAACCTTGTCTCCTAGGCCAGCAAGAATGAGTAGGCCGTTCTAGGCAGAATTGCAGAAGCAAGAATCAGCATGGAATGCTTAGAGAACTCTAAATAGTCATCTGCCCCTAGAGCAGGGAGTCCAAAGCAAGAAAATATGGAAGCCAGCCCAATGGCAGAATTGTTAAGTTTGGGTGCTCAGCTTCAGCATCCCGGGATTCACAGGTTCAGATCCTGGACATGGACCTACACACCGCTCATCAAGCCATGCTGAGGTGGCATCCCACACAGAACTAGAAGGACTTACAACTAGGATATACAGCTATGTACTGAGGTTCTGGGGAGGAAAAAAACAAAAAGAGGAAGATTGGCAACAGGTATTAGCTCAGGGCCAAACTTCCTCACCAAAAAAAGAAAAGGAAGAAAACATGGGACATAAAACATTAAATATGGGACATCCATCAGGACTGAGATGCTGAAGTTCCTTAAATATGAGGCCAAGGAGTTGAGACAATTTGAATGTGGTTTTCGGCCCCTTCAGGACATGGCCCCCATCTCCACCCTCAACTTTCACTCTTCTGTCCTCCGAGAAGCCTTTCATTGCCCCAGGGTCAGGTACTCAGTGCTTCCTCTATCTTAGATAATGCACCTCACTACAATGTATTCTTCATTACTGTTTTTCTCAGCAAACAGTAAGCGCTCTGATCGAATCTGTTCGCTCATCTCTGATTTCCATTCCTTTACACATTGGGTATACTCAATTAAAATTGTTCAATGAATGGATTGCTTCATTTGGAAAGCTATAAAGTGCCATAAAATAATTTTAAACAAGGGAATGACATCATCCGATTTATGAATGAAAAAAGGCATGTTGGCAGAAATGTTAATGATAGAATGAAGATGACTAAGAATGATGTCAAGGAAACTGCTTAAAAATGTACTTCAATGTTTAGCTAATAAGTCTTGAAAGCCTGCATTAATTCATTTGTTCAACACTTATTTATTGAGCATGCACTATGTACCAGCCACTGGCCTAGGCACTAGAGATAGAGCTCTGAACAAGGCCCTCTTGGAGATTCCAAAAACAAAGAAGTAAACAAGGTAATTTCTGAAAGTGATAAGTTGCTGCTAAGAAATCGCAGGCTGGCGTGATAGTAAAGTGATGTGAAGAGAAGAAGTAGCAGTGATGTGAGAGAATGGAATGAACATGAGTAATTCATAAATAGAATGGAAGGAGATTTGGGATGAGGCATTTGCAGAGAAGTGATGTTGTAAAGATCATGGCAGGAACAGAGATTAAGTGTGGCCTTCTAATTTATGCCATTAGATAAACCAAGTTGCTACTTAGAAAATTGGCTCATACCCAAGGAGGATGAACTTGGAATAGGAAAGGAAGTATGCCACTTTCCTTCAGATCAGTTCCCACATTTCCCCACCTCTTCTACACCTCAGGAGGGTGACCTATATGAAATACAGGTTCCCTCGCCATCTGGCTTCCAGTTGGGTTCAGCCAATGGGGAAAAATGGCAAAAAATGGGGAGAGATATGCCTCTGGATCCCTCCTTGAGGGCCCCACCTTGGGCTGGCTGTTTCCCCTGACAGAGTGTCACTGTTTCTGTCAGTGTGGCCTTTTCTACATGAATCTTTCTTCTAGATTCCAGTAAACATTCTTCTTCTTTTCCCTTCAGGACTAGTAGTACTAATTGCTCAGGTGTTACTAGTTTTCAGCTCCTAAGTTACTGGATTATCCCTTGTGGTTTTCCTACTACCCACAACTGTATAAAGACTCCTTAAATCAAATACTCAGAGTCATCCAATTTAGATAACTTGGAATTTATCCTAATTTGAACATACCATTTGTTTTCTGCTGGGTCCCTGACTAATAATACTGGTAATTATTTCAGGTTGGAACCAATTTTGACTTTCCAACACCAGTGGGATATCCGTGTGGAGTTATCCAGTAGTCAACTGGAAAATATGGTCATAGCACTGCTAAGTGAGATCTGAACTAGAGCCATTGAACTTAGAGTTTTCCAATATCTTCCTCACATCTCTCTCTGCCCAGATAAGAAGCAAGTTTACCACCAGGGGGCTGCCTGTGATATCTGGGGAAGAAGCACTGAGGGAAGTGTTGCCAGATCACAGACTTCTCTTCAGAAGAATTCGACCACTGATGAAATTCCCTCCAGAGTAGTCTGGCTATTCCAGTAATATGCTTTTGTGCCTCTAGCTGCTTCTGGGTATTTACCCACAGCCTCTTTTCCTCCCCAGAATTCTGTCCATAAACTCCCACAGGTCTTACTGGGCACTATAAGTCAGCAGAGTGGTACCAGCCGGAACTCAGCTAGATGAGTCAGGAGGGTCTCTTGGGAAGGGCGTTACAGCAGAAGGAAAACAGGGAGTTTGTGGTTACTCCAAAGCTGGGGCTTGCGTCTGTTCCCAGTTTTGAATTCCCTGTGAGAGTTCTTAGAAACATATTTCGGGAGTTCTTGCAACATGCATCCCTTTCGTTGCCATTATCTGCAAAATGAATACAAACAACTTAAAGAGAAAGTGAAAGATTTCTTCTTTTTATTTTTTAGAACAATCCAAATTGTGAGATCTATAATCAAAGAATAAAATCTAAGGGACCGATGGTCAAAATGATGACCTCGCTGCTTTGACGGCAGTGCCAGGTTAGCATGCCCCCTTGGCACACTGCCGATGCTGTCCTTACATGTCCTTGTCCACCAGCTCTGCTATTTCACACCATGCTCCTCCTCAGAGTCCCGAGATGAATCCCATCTGGGCGGCAGTGATTTACCGCACTTGAGTTTCTTAAGTTGTTCCCTAAGTGCCTCTTTGAGACCTCAGGGTCTAGTCAGACCACACTGGTTGCACCCCCGAACTTAGGGTGTTAGAATGAGTGTTTCCAAATACTTCTCTGCAGACAAGTCAGTTGCAATAAATGTATCCTTAATCGGGGGTGGGTGGGTGGAGTGAGGGGGCTTATAACACAGGTGTCTATTATCTTGGTTCTACAGAGAAGGAAATGTGCCTTCAACACACAGCAGTTTAAAGTTTAGACAAGATTGTCAGATCTAAATATATGGTAAAGTCATAAAACTTCATAAAACAATAGAATTTCTCCATCTAGTGCAGATACTAATGTTAACTTGTCTATGAAATAATACATATAACTATCCATTTTGAATGCAATAGATTGACATTTGTATATAATTTAAATCTATACCAGAGGCACTAGAGACATAATTAGCTAAAATATTTTCTAAATATATTATGCCTAGGTAAAAACACAACTATGCATATAAAACAGCTATCTTTCAAGTAAAATCTTCATTTGTAAGCCCTGAGTTTGCTGTGGACGTATGTATACAGTACTATTTAAGCAGAGTTTTTGATTCATGATTTAATAGTTTTGAACATAAATATTACTGTCTTATTTTCTGTGGATAGACGTTCTCAAAAGGGGTTAAGGAGGATGTATTTCCATGATTACTGAAAAGAGTTCTATTATTTTTCATAAAATAATATTGGAAGACAGATAAAAAGGATATATATATTTAGGGTGGCAAACACTCAAAGTTAAATACTTTGAGATTTCATTGGGTATTTTTGTTACGAGTTATTTTGCATAATCGACTGTTTTTGCAGAAAAATTTTTATAAGATCAAGATAGTTTTAGTGAATGCTTAATTACATTTATTACATGCCTAATTATATTTATTACATTCCTAGAAAAGTCTAATTGAGTGAGTCATTAAAGATAACGTGCCTCTTAAGAATAGCAGAGGCGTTATGAGGACCATGTAAACATAAGAAAAGAAATAGCTATAATTACAAAGGTAGAGAAGGTCCTCAAGGAAGTGTCCACAGATGCCAAATATTCATGATGTTATAAATCTTTTAACCAATGGGGTTACAGAAAATAGTAAGAGCCACGAAACTGATTTCTAGCTATGGATAAGGTTAAGATTCTATATGTTTTACATTCATTATTTAGTTTAATACTGACAAAAAACTCTTTGAGGGCTAGTTTTGTCTATTTACAGAATTTTTCAAACCCTGATGGTTAAAGAGGTTAAGCAATTTCTCAGTCTTAGAATAGTAAATAAAAAATTGTAATTGAACACAGATACAGCAGATTTCAGAATCTTCTATCTTCATTCCTAAGCTCTACTCCTGACCACTCCAGTTGTAATTATGTAATTTATATACTTGCCAAACAACCAGGAAGTACCTATTTTAAATATTCT